TTGTAGCTTAAGAAATAATCAAATTAACTTTTAGGTTACAGCAGTAAAATTGTTCAGTAAAAAGTGTTTAAAATTGATTATTTATAAAAGGATTTTACAAGGGGATAACTTTTAAAAATGAGATTATTTATAAAGCTTATTTTACATTCCAAAAAGTAAAATACACTCATTCATAATTATTCAAATTACAAAATAAACTTAAATTCTAGACGTTCGGAATCCTACATTTGATTCGTATAAGGATGTGGTCATCGACAACCCCTTAGGCCTGCCAGCAAGAACGGGTGGATTAACATGAAGTCGTTGACAATTATAGATTTTGAAAATCAAAGCAGTTATAGAAACGATATTTATCAAACACACATGAAATTATTTCTAAAGCTGATTATTTTTAAAATTGAGAAAAAAAGGATTAAACTTCCAGCTATGACTATCTAGAACTAATAATAAATTTATTATGGAAAGTGTTAAGACATTAATAAGTTGATGACACCTCATTTATGTTACAAACTTGCATTATTTATAAAAAAAAATAATCATCACCCCCAAAATGTTTTCGGAAACAAATGGCAACAATGAGCTTGTCTCATTGGTCAAGGTTACAGAATATTTGGAAAAATGGAATGTTAAAGGCCACTAACATGATGCCATTTCCTTGATAATCAAGTCAAAGATAAGGACAAAGGAAAACTGCATCTGCAATGTCCTGTGAGGGACAACCTTATATATCCACGGATGTTAATCAAAGTTATTAGATCCGATGATATTGACTTTCTAACCAATTAACAATTAACAGCAACTCCCAACTTACTCAGTTAAAAAGATGATTCAACATCCCTGGCGCCACTTTTGAAAACCAAGTTTCCATATAAGGATGATTTTATGTTTTTTGGGTTTTTGGTTTACCTCTTCGGTTATTCCATCACAGTAGGAGTTTTGACTTTTGGCGTTGGCTGATTTGGAATAATTACAAATAATTCTTCGAGGGTTATTGGGATGGCAAGAGTTTCCTTGGAACAAGGCAAGTCAACGTCCAAGATCGCCGCAGATTCTGGGACCTGTTGTTGTTCAGCTTTTACAGGAGTTTTGTGCTATTGATTTATGGGCCGTAATCGTATTTATCACAGATTTGGTTCCGGTGCTGTCCCAAGATCTAAGCCTTTTTATCACAGATATCTCGATACTATGAAGTGAGTTTCTTGCGTGTTTTTGTTTTCCAGATTGTTTATTGTTTATGTGCTTTTTTATTATTTTTTTTTAAAGAAAATGGTTATGGAGTCGATTGAATTTTAAGAAATTTGTTCAGCTGGGATCCAGATGATATTAGAAAATGGAGGGATTTCTCTGATAAATGATTTGATTAAGCGTCTGTTGATTTGGAGTCTGATACTTTATCACTGTTGATGGAATAAATGTCATTTATTAGTTTTAAGATGGACAACTAACTCTTAGCATATTTGAAATAAGATTTTTAGAGTGGAAGAGTTGAAGCTATAGGCTATAAAATTCTTTTTATATTTCCTTGGATAATTAATGCTACCTTCATTTCTAAAACATAACTATTGCTTAATAGATGATCTATTTCTGTACGTAGCATTTATAGATGATCTATATCTTCCACTTCTGAATTTACTTCAATTGTGAGGTTTAGATGGACTAGAAATCATCGCTATGAACATTCCACTTAACAGCATCAGTATAGCATTTAATGTCTTGTTCAATTATACAACTCAAGATTCTTTTTCCCACATGACAATGGCATACTCAGATAATCCCAATTTTTCATTTCAGTATGGTTACTTGTTCTTTTAATTCATTTTCATGGATTTTTGCTTTGTTGGACAATTTTTTCCATCTAGCTTTGCCATTATGGATTTTGTACTGCAAAACCTCATCTAAATCACTATTTATTTTGTATTGATGAAATCATAACTAAGATTTTACATGTAATTCTAAACATATTTTTGAGAGGTCTTATATATTAGATCAACCGAGATTTATGAAGTAATTTGCATGACCTATGTTGGTTAGTGGATCATGGAATATTTAGTGAACTTTTTAAGTTTTTATCTTCCTGTTTTATGTATGTTCAACGATAGGAAGTATTATGTCTTATACCTTTTTCCAAGCCATTTATTTCCCTTGTATATAAAAGTTTTACTCTCTGTATTGATCCTGATTTCTGTCCCTTGGAAATATGTTCACTTTTCACAGAACATTAAAGGTTTTGGGGGTTTCTCTGTCTCTCATTCTTATCAACCTGGCTGCTATAATGGAACGTGCTGATGAAAATCTCCTCCCTTCTGTTTATAAAGAAGTTAGTGAAGCGTTTGATGCTGGGCCATCTGATCTGGGGTATCTCACATTTGTAAGGAACTTTGTGCAGGGAGTGGCATCTCCCTTGGCCGGTGTACTTGTTATTAACTATGACCGGCCTTTGGTCCTAACTATTGGCATTTTCTGCTGGGCCTTATCAACTGCTGCAGTGGGAGCAAGCCAGCATTTCTTACAGGTTGCAATGTGGAGAGCAGTTAATGGCTTCGGATTGGCAATTGTGATACCAGCTCTCCAGTCTTTCATTGCTGATAGTTACAAGGATGGCGTGAGGGGTGCTGGATTTGGGTTACTAAGCCTTGTTGGTACTTTGGGTGGCATAGGAGGTGGCGTTTTAGCAACCATTATGGCTGGTCAGCAGTTCTGGGGCATGCCTGGATGGCGCTGTGCCTTCATTTTGATGGCTACATTGAGTGTGCTGATTGGTTGCCTTGTTTTCTTGTTTGTTGTTGATCCGAGAAAACAAACTAGTGTCACTCATGTATCTGGTGAAAATTTTGATAGGTACAAACCTATTACTTGAGATTATTTAGATTTGTCAAATGTTTTAGTGTCTCACAGCCATCTATATTCGTTGACCATGTGTTTTCAGCTACCCAAATGCCCTGTGTTTGCGAACTTTACAGCGTATTAAGTAGCATTTATAATTTCCATTAATGTTTCGTAACTCAACTTCTTATTGTTGCAGGGATGAGTTGGTAGAAAAGGGTAATGCTACTGTATCATCTGTTTGGCAGGAGTCTTGGACAGCTACAAAAGCTGTTATCAAAGTGCCAACATTTCAGATTATAGTCCTGCAAGGCATTGTTGGTTCATTACCCTGGACTGCCATGGTGTTCTTTACCATGTGGTTTGAATTAATTGGTTAGCACATATGTGAACTTTACTACTTAATTGAGAATATACCATATAATCACATCTTTAGCTGCCACTGGATTGGAGTACTTAATAAGCTCATTCTAGTTATGCAGAAAGCAGCATTATTGTACTGGGTGTCCCTTTTACAATTGTCATTGCATTTTACCTCATTTCTTTTCATGATGTGTGATGACTTTGTGTCCTTTTGTAGGTTTTGATCATAGTAGTACTGCAGCCCTTTTAAGTGTATTTGCTGTTGGATGTGCATTGGGGTCCTTCCTTGGCGGAATAGTAGCAGATCAAATATCACGAATCTACCCGCACTCTGGCCGTATTATGTGTGCTCAATTCAGTGCCTTCATGGGTATTCCATTCTCATTGTTCCTTCTTAAGGTGATCCCACAATCAGTAAGCAGCTATTACACCTTTGCTGTTACCCTTCTTCTAATGGGCTTAACCATTAGCTGGAATGCCACTGCTGCAAATGGCCCTATGTTTGCTGAAGTGGTCCCTGCCAAACACCGGACCATGATTTATGCATTTGATCGTGCTTTCGAAGGATCATTCTCTTCATTTGCTGCTCCTTTGGTTGGAATTCTTTCAGAGAACATGTTTGGCTATGATTCAAAGTCTATTGATCCGGTTAAAGGGTCTGCGCGGGAGGCTTTTGCTTTATCACAGGGGCTTTTGTCAATGATGGCTGTTCCATTTGGTTTGTGTTGCCTGTTTTACACGCCCTTGTATAAGCTTTTTCGGCGAGACCGTGAGAATGCTAGATTGGCCAGTTTAAAAGAGGAAGAGATGTTTTGAAAGGCTCTATTTCAGTTGACTGCACTGTCAATCATAACTTCTCAACTCTAGGACATTTTACTGAGAATTCGATTCAATTTTTCTTCTCAAACTGAAGAGGGACTTCAGCTGACATGTCTGCTGATTGGTGTAGGACAACTGTCGAGAGAATAATCCTTTTTCCTGATTTAATGCAAACAGGTTGGTTGTAATGAACTTGTTTAGATTAATTTTGATTCACACTAATCATCAAGGTAGAACATATGCAAGTCCAACATTATCTGCGTTAAAATTTCTGGGGATAGTCAGGATGATGTAGATAACTAGATGGGCTGCGTTTACAACTAAACAGCTTGACGTGAATTTCTGTAGTTGAATTGCTTTGCATACAGAATGATACCCCTACTATGCAAATTAATGAGACACATCCAAGTTCATGTTAGCTAAGCCCCAAGGTTTCCCGGTTACTATCCTGTAAGATACTTAGCATGGTTGTGCAGCTAATGAGGAACAGCAACCAACTGAGACTGTTTTTATGATCATAAAACCATTTTGGCAAATCGTGAGGAATTTGATCAGATAACTCTGGTTTTGATTTGGCTCTTATTCGTTGGATGGTAGTTTTGGTATAGCAGTGCTGCCTAATAATACTATTCTGTTGATTTATATAGATGGTTCAGGCAAATTCTAGAGCCCTTGGTTTCTTCTTTTTCCTGTTCCATTTGAATCGTCATCACGTGCTTAGCTGTTATTTTCACATGTTTTCAAACAATTTAAATATGAATGGTGTTTTAAATGTCTCGAAAGGACACATGATGAGATTAGGTTTTGTCTGGTCTGGTCTGTATTCAAAGTTGGCCAAACATCATTAATTCAATGGTGTGAATCTGCATATTCATTTTAAGCTAATGGAGTACTGGAGAAGAGATTTTCCATTTTCCTACTACATTGGGAACTCGGGTCCAGGACTCATGCGTGTCTGTAGCGCAGAGACACAGGATAAAATCGAATCTGGGGTTGTTGAAAATGATAATAACATATCACATGCCAACAGACAGAAATGACATCAACATAGTTTAACAGGTAAGCCGTGCTTTTTTTGGGATCATAAGTGGTTGGTCTTTTTTAAGGAATCCAGGTCCTTCCAGGAAAATACAGCAAAAGCATAACTTGAAAATTAGAATTAGCAGATAAATGTTACAACCCACCACCATAGTGGCATTTACATACACGATTCGAAATATTCATCCCCAATATACCCACCTTCCAAAGCCATTCTCACATTTGCCTCGAACACATGTGGATGGTCCCTCAACATATCAGCAGCGTCATGATTGAGGGGATCCTCACAATTTGGTTCCTGCATACATAAATTAATGCAACCAAAAAAGTTAGAACAAATAAAATCTATATGTCATATTAACTTAAGACAAAAGACACACACAGAATGATAGCGTATTACCGTGAAGAGATGATACAATCCGTAAATGATAGTGTTAATATTCAGCACAGGTTTCCAATCTTCTCGCAAGACATTGAGGCAAACGTTTCCTTCCAAGTCAATATTGGGATGGAAGACCTGAAGGTTTGATGCAAATTTGTAAAAAGCCAAAAAACATAGCACCATATGAATGTTAAGTATATGGTGAAAAATTAACAGGATGGAGATGGAATGCTCTACCTTGGTCTTGCACTTAACCCTTGGCGCATCATGTGGATAGATAGGGGGAACTTCGAAAGAGAACAAGAACGTCCCATCTCTGTAGCAACAATTTGGAAAGGATTTAATCAAACAACACTGAATATTGAGACACACAGAACAGAGGAACCTTGCTTTCTTTGAAGTAGGGAAATTGCAGGAATTAAATTTCAGCAAAATGCCAATGCCTTTTGTTTGAGTTGAAACTATGGACAAGGGACATAAAAAAACTCCTTACTTGTAATACCCTCCATCAGGCTTAATTGAGATCTCAAAATTCATCAAGTCGTCCTTGCCATTGGGGAATGTTATGTTGCAAGAATCAGGTAAGTTCAGCTCAGTGATATCTATGACAAGTAAAATGCCAAGATTTATGTTAGGAATACAGGCATTAAGTAAATGATGAAGAACTGAGAAGACAAAGTTAAAAGACTTTCCTTGGGAAAAAAAACAACTCAAATCTCTGTTCGATGAATCTTGTGTACTTTTCCACCTCATCTTACAAAACTTAACCCAGCAAAATTATAATAAAGTAAATAATATTTCTTCATCCTGTCCTTCTTCTTACACTTGAAGTAAGGTGTTTGATAGAAAGTTAAAAACAATGTAGGCAGAAATATGACAGTGTGATACTGGAACAAAAAAAAAAAAAAAAAAAATGTCTTCTTTACTAGTAAAAACCAACATAAATGAAGAGATGAAACCATTCAACACACATAAGAGAAACCTTTTTGAAGACGCAACTCCCCAGCCGACTGCTTTTTAAGTTACGGCATGATCTACTGTGTTGCCTACAATACATTCGGTATGTTATCCCATACGCTGGTAATGGGGTGAACGGAGAAAGTTAAAATGATGAAATGTTAAAGTGGGAAGTGTCACTGAAGATAAAGAAAAAGCTGAGAAAAATAAAAGCCAATGGTAAAAAAAAAAAAAAAGTGAAAAATGTCAGTGAAGAGAAAGCTGAGCAAAATAAAAGCAATGGTAAAAAAGAAGTCAGAAAACTGTTAGAAAAAATATTTTACAGATTAGATTGTGCAAAAATAAAACAAACATTATTTGAAAAATCAAATCCAGAATATAGATAAATACTGAATCAATATGATCAGTGTTATTTTAAGCGTGAGAATCTAGAATAATAGAACTTACAGTACCAACTTAGGATTGCGTCAAACCTAGGAGTGGAATATGTGTTTACTCTAATCAAATTAACTTTTAGTTACAGCAGTAAAATGTTAGTAAAAAGTGTTTAAAATGATATTTATAAAAGGATTTTACAAGGGATAACTTTTAAAAATGAGTTATTTATAAAGTTATTTTACATTAAAAAGTAATAACCCATCCATAATTATTCAAATTACAAAAAACTTAAATTCTAGACGTCGGAATCCTACATTTGATTCGTATAGGAGGATGTGGTCATCGACAACCCTTAGCCTGCCACTGCCAGCAAGAAAGGGGGATTAACATGAAGTCGTTGGCAATTATAGATTTTGAAAATCAAAGCAGTTATAGAAACGATATTTATCAAACACACATGAAATTATTTCTAAAGCTGATTATTTTTAAAATTGAGAAAAAAAGATTAAACTTCCAGCTATGACTATCTAGAACTAATAATAAATTTATTATGGAAAGTGTAAGACATTAATAATTGATGACACTCATTTATGTTACAAACTTGCATTATTTATAAAAAAAAATAATCATCACCACCAAAATGTTTTCGGAAAAAATGGCAACAATGAGCTCGTCTCATTGGTCAAGGTCAGAATATTTGGAAAAATGGAATGTTAAAGGCCACTAACATGATGCCATTTCTTGATAATCAAGTCAAAGATAAGGACAAGGAAAACTGCATCTGCAATGTCCTGTGAGGGACAACCTATATATCCACGGATGTTATAAGTTATTAGATCCGATGATATTGACTTTTAACCAATAACAATTAACAGCAACTCCCAACTTACTCAGTTAAAAGATGATTCAACATCCCTGGCGGCACTTTTGAAAACCAAGTTTCTATATAGGATGATTTTTGTTTTTTTGGTTTTTGGTTTACCTCTTCGGTTATTCCATCACAGTAGGAGTTTACTTTTGGCGTTGGCTGATTTGGAATAATACAAATAATTCTTCGAGGGTTATTGGGATGGCAAAGTTTCTTGGAACAAGGCAAGTCAACGTCCAAGATCGCCGCAGATTCGGGACCTGTTGTTGTTCAGCTTTTACAGGATTTTGTGCTATTGATTTAGGGCCGTAATCGTATTTATCACAGATTTGGTTCCGTGCTGTCCCAAGATCCTAAGCCTTTTATCACAGATATCTCGAACTATGAAGTGAGTTTCTTGCGTGTTTTGTTTTCCAGATTGTTTATTGTTTATGTGCTTTTTATTATTTTTTAAAGAAAAGGTTACGGAGTCGATTGAATTTTAAGAAATTTGTCAGCTGGGATCCAGAGATATTAGAAAATGGGGGATTTCTCTGATAAATGATTTGATTAAGCGTCGACTGTTATCACTGTTGATGGAATAATGTCATTTATTAGTTTTAAGATGGACAACTAACTCTTAGCATATTGAAATAAGATTTTTAGAGAGAAGAGTTGAAGCTATAGGCTATAAATTCTTTTTATATTTCCTTGGATAATTAATGCTACCTTCATTTCAAAACATAATATTGCTTAATAGGATCTATTTCTGTACGTAGCATTTATAGATGTCATATCTTCCACTTCTGATTTACTTCATTGTGAGGTTTAGATGGACTAGAAATATCGCTATGAACATTCCACTTAACAGCATCAGTATAGCATTTAATGTCTTGTTCAATTATACAACTCAAGATTCTTTTCCCACAGACAATGGCATACTCAGATAATCCCAATTTTCATTTCAGTATGTTACTTGTTCTTTAATCATTTTCATGGATTTTTGCTTTGTTGGACAATTTTTCCATCAGCTTTGCCATTATGGATTTGTACTGCAAAACCTCATCTAAATCACTATTTATTTGTATTGATGAAATCATAACTAAGATTTTACATGAATTCTAAACATATTTTTGAGAGGCTTATATATTAGATCAACCGAGATTATGAAGTAATTTGATGACCTATGTTGGTTAGTGGATCAGGATATTAGTGAACTTTAAGTTTTTATCTTTGTTTTAGTATGTAACGATAGGAAGTATTATGTCTTATACCTTTTTCCAAGCCATTTATTTCCCTTGTATAAAAGTTTTACTCTCTGTATTGATCCTGATTCTGTCCCTGGAAATATGTTACCTTTCACAGAACATTAAAGGTTTGGGGGTTTCTCTGTCTCATTCTTATCAACCTGGCTGCTATAATGGAACGTGCTGATGAAAATCTCCTCCTTCTGTTTAAAGAAGTTAGTGAAGCGTTTGATGCTGGGCCATCTGATCTGGGGTATCTCACTTGTAAGGAACTTTGTGCAGGGAGTGGCATCTCCCTTGGCCGGTGTACTTGTTATTAACTATGACCGGCCTTTGGTCCTAACTATTGGCATTTTCTGCTGGGCCTTATCAACTGCTGCAGTGGGAGAAGCCAGCATTTCTTACAGGTTGCAATGTGGAGAGCAGTTAATGGCTTCGGATTGGCAATTGTGATACCGCTCTCCAGTCTTTCATTGCTGATAGTTACAAGGTGGCGTGAGGGGTGCTGGATTTGGGTTACTAAGCCTTGTTGGTACTTTGGGTGGCATAGGAGGTGGCGTTTTAGCAACCATTATGGCTGGTCAGCAGTCTGGGGCATGCCTGGATGGCGCTGTGCCTTCTTTTGATGGCTACATTGAGTGTGCTGATTGGTTGCCTTGTTTCTTGTTTGTTGTTGATCCGAGAAAACAAACTAGTGTCACTCATGTTCTGGTGAAAATTTTGATAGTACAAACCTATTACTTGAGATATTTAGATTTGTCAAATGTTTTAGTGTCTCACAGCCATCTATATTCTTGACCAGTGTTTTCAGCTACCCAAATGCCCTGTGTTTGCGAACTTTACAGCGTATTAAGTAGCATTTATAATTTCCATTAATGTTTCGTAACTCAACTTCTTATTGTTGCAGGGATGAGTTGGTAGAAAAGGGTAATCTACTGTATCATCTGTTTGGCAGGAGTCTGGACAGCTACAAAAGCTGTTATCAAAGTGCCAACATTTCAGATTATAGTCCTGCAAGGCATTGTTGGTTCATTACCATGGACTGCCATGGTGTTCTTTACCATGTGGTTTGAATTAATTGGTTAGCACATAGTGACTTTACTACTTAATTGAGATATACCATATAATCACACTTTAGCTGCCCTGGATTGGAGTACTTAATAAGCTCATTCTAGTTATGCAGAAAGCAGCATTATTGTACTGGGTGTCCCTTTTACAATGTCATTGCATTTACCTCATTCTTTTCATGATGTGTGATGTCTTTGTGTCTTTTGTAGGTTTTGACATAGTAGTACTGCAGCCCTTTAAGTGTATTTGCTGTTGGATGGCATGGGGTCCTTCCTTGGCGGAATAGTAGCAGATCAAATATCACGAATCTACCCCACTCTGGCCGTATTATGTGTGCTCAATTCAGTGCCTTCATGGGTATTCCATTCTCATTGTTCCTTCTTAAGGTGATCCCACAATCAGAAGCAGCTTTACACCTTGCGTTACCCTCTTCTAATGGGCTTAACCATTAGCTGGAATGCCACTGCTGCAAATGGCCTAGTTTGCTGAAGTGGTCCCTGCCAAACACCGGACCATGATTTATGCATTTGATCGTGCTTTCGAAGGATCATCTCTTTCATTTGCTGCTCCTTTGGTGGAATTCTTTCAGAGAATAGTTGGCTATGATTCAAAGTCTATTGATCCGTTAAAGGGTCTGCGCGGGAGGTTTTGCTTTATCAAGGGGCTTTTGTCAATGATGGCTGTTCCATTTGGTTTGTGTTGCCTGTTTTACACGCCCTTGTATAAGCTTTTTCGGCGAGACAAATTTTAAAATACAATTTTTTTATCCAAAATTTATATTTTATTATTATTCAAAACCGATTTTGACCACGACAACTCTCTTTATCATCACTATTTAAACCTTCGATCTCTTTTTTACAAAATTTTTTTTACTCTGACACCTAATTTCTTGTCGATTATCAATCATTGTAAGACTAAGATTTCTTGTTTTTAACTAACTTTTTGCTAATTTCAGTGACAAATATTCAATCAATCACTACTATTTGATCCACCAATCTTCACTCTATAAAAATCTCTCTTACCTTGACCCTGTGTAACTCGTCAAATATCTTAAATTTATTTTGGATATTAAAGGAATATAAATTTTGGGTAAGAACGTGTTATTTTAAAACCTTTTTGTGGGAAAGTGTACCAAGGCAAAACAATTGGTTGGGAAAAAGTCCTTGACTCTTTTAATAATCTATAAACGTTACAGTTGAAACGTCCCTGTGATAGGCTTGACACGGACCTTGAACCTCATCTCACGTGGGTGGGACTTTTTCGTAAACAATTCCACCTTCCACGGCCCTTCATAACTATTAAATTCCACAGAGTTAAGTAAATGAATATGAAATGTACATTAACCAATCATATTAAAACTAATACTGTCTTCAACAACAGCTGATGCTAAATCATTTTACGTATAATATTTTATATTATGGTGTAAAAATGAGTTAAATAACCAGAAGCAAGACCCATTTAGATGAAGTAGTTTTAGTTTGAGTTGTATATTTTAATGTTGTTAGTTTCTTAGAAATTTCTTAAGAGTCGTCATGGGATTAATTAAAAGAAGGTCAACTCGTCCAAATGCATCCCATATTCTTAGGTTACGAATATTTTTTCTTCTTCTCTATTATACACACACCATTCAGTGCCACGATTAACTTGTTTCGTCAACCTTATCTTTCTGTATTTTCTCTAGTTATGGTCGTCATTATGCAATTTCCCTTTCTGTTCGAGTTTACGCAAGTTTTATTGACAAAATAATATGGGAAAAATGTTCATGATTCCAGACCAGGCTTGGTCCTGGGCCTGAGACCTAGGAGTATCTAAAACTGGTTGACCTTTACAATAGAAATCAACTGAAAGAGGGCTAGTTTAGGAGCCCATTGGGTTTCTGTTGGGCATGTATTAAGATAGAAGCCCATTAATTTCTATAACTTTGAAACTTGATTTCTCAAATGATTTGCTCTTAATTTGATTAAATTTATCCACATTAGTTTATCATTACATTGCATTGCTCCCATGAGAATCGTACAGACAAATCATTTTTTTATATTAAAAACAATAATAATCAAATGAGTAAACAACATATTCCCACCCAAAGTTTGACCAAATCCCATGTTGGTACCACAAGTTCCATTTATTCCAAATTCTCACCCTTAAAGTAACAGGAAATTGTTAAATATAATGGCTTAGGGGTAAATTGGTCATTTCATAGAGAAGGGGCACATTAGCAGATCGTCGCCCCTAACAAAGATCCGGTGCACGTTAGCAACATCACCGCCGATGTTTTTCGCCCTTTTCCGGCGATTCTTCCACCTAAAATCACATTTGTCACCACCATTCGAACCCTCATCCTCCCCTCTACAAAACCATACCCTTGAAAACCCCTCATCACACGCCGATCTCCAGCCACGACAGCCGCCACATTCTACTGGTTTTCGTCGATGTCCACCAGCGAATGGCCACTAAACGGTTGCTGGGACATAGGGGGTTTTGTAGATTAGGAGACGCTGGTTGCAGTGGTGACGTCGAATTAGATTTTCATTACCGGAATCCAGTGAAGAATGACGAAAACCTAAGCTTGACGACACCGGCGATTGGAGGGCCCAATAAGTCGGGAACCAGAGGGGTTTTGGACGACGGACGATGGGGAAGGTGATGGAGGTGACTAGGGGTTTCGCCGGCATCAGAAATAGCCTAGATCCAGTGAAAACCGAGACGGTGCACAGTCACTGAGGGTGTAATTGATATAATTTCAAAATAAGATGGTTAATTTTATAATTTTAATAATTTAGGGGTTAAAAATAATTTATTAATTTGGGGTTAAAAGGCATTATGGTGATTGCACCCTCACTATCCTAAAAAATATTAACAGTGGGTGCGTTTGGTTTATTATTTTGGATAGGGTTATGATTACGAGAATATGATTTGCAGAATATGTGTTTAGTAGAGTATTTTGACCTTGATATTTGTGTTGAATATTTGATTAATATATTTATAAATGATTTATTAATATAATATTTTGTTGCATTTTGTTAAAATAATATATTATTATATATATAACTTATCAAGTTACATTTTAATAATACTAAATATTTTATTGGTAATTTTGTCACCCGTAGATATTAAAAAACAAAAACCCATGTTAATTTCAAGTACTAATCTAACTGTTTAAAAACATCACATTAATACATATATAACAAAAGTACTAATTATCAATCCTTACAATCATTATTACACGTATACTCCATTAACAGTTACGGCATGATCTACTGTGTTGCCTACAATACATTCGTTATGTTATCCCCATACGCTGGTAATGGTGGTGAACGGAGAAAGTTAAAAATGATGAAATGTTAAAGTGGGAAGTGTCACTGAAGAATAAAGAAAAAGCTGAGAAAAATAAAAGCCAATGGTAAAAAAAAAAAAAAAGTGAAAAATGTCAGTGAAGAGAAAGCTGAGCAAAATAAAAGCAATGGTAAAAAAGAAAGTCAGAAAACTGTTAGAAAAAATATTTTACAGATTAGATTGTGCAAATAATAAAACAAACATTATTTGAAAAATCAAATCCAGAATATAGATAATAATACTGAATCAAATATGATCAGTGTTATTTTAAGCGTGAGAATCTAGAATAAATAGAACTTACAGTACCAACTTAGGATTGCGTCAAACCTTAGGAGTGGAAATATGTCGTTTACTCTAATCAAATTAACTTTTAAGTTACAGCAGTAAAATTGTTTAGTAAAAAGTGTTTAAAACTGACTATTTATAAAAGGATTTTACAAGGGATAACTTTTAAAAATGAGTATTTATAAAGTTTATTTTACATTGTAAAAAGTCAAATATACCCATCCATAATTATTCAAATTACAAAATAAACTTAAATTCTAGACGTTCGGAATCCTACATTTGATTCGTATAAGGATGTGGTCATCGACAACCCCTTAGGCCTGCCAGCAAGAACGGGTGGATTAACATGAAGTCGTTGGCAATTATAGATTTTGAAAATCAAAGCAGTTATAGAAACGATATTTATCAAACACACATGAAATTATTTCTAAAGCTGATTATTTTTAAAATTGAGAAAAAAATGATTAAACTTCCAGCTATGACTATCTAGAACTAATAATAAATTTATTATGGAAAGTGTTAAGACATTAATAAGTTGATGACACCTCATTTATGTTACAAACTTGCATTATTTATAAAAAAAAATAATCATCACCCCCAAAATGTTTTCGGAAACAAATGGCAACAATGAGCTTGTCTCATTGGTCAAGGTTACAGAATATTTGGAAAAATGGAATGTTAAAGGCCACTAACATGATGCCATTTCCTTGATAATCAAGTCAAAGATAAGGACAAAGGAAAACTGCATCTGCAATGTCCTGTGAGGGACAACCTTATATATCCACGGATGTTAATCAAAGTTATTAGATCCGATGATATTGACTTTCTAACCAATTAACAATTAACAGCAACTCCCAACTTACTCAGTTAAAAAGATGATTCAACATCCCTGGCGCCACTTTTGAAAACCAAGTTTCCATATAAGGATGATTTTATGTTTTTTGGGTTTTTGGTTTACCTCTTCGGTTATTCCATCACAGTAGGAGTTTTGACTTTTGGCGTTGGCTGATTTGGAATAATTACAAATAATTCTTCGAGGGTTATTGGGATGGCAAGAGTTTCCTTGGAACAAGGCAAGTCAACGTCCAAGATCGCCGCAGATTCTGGGACCTGTTGTTGTTCAGCTTTTACAGGAGTTTTGTGCTATTGATTTATGGGCCGTAATCGTATTTATCACAGATTTGGTTCCGGTGCTGTCCCAAGATCTAAGCCTTTTTATCACAGATATCTCGATACTATGAAGTGAGTTTCTTGCGTGTTTTTGTTTTCCAGATTGTTTATTGTTTATGTGCTTTTTTATTATTTTTTTTTAAAGAAAATGGTTATGGAGTCGATTGAATTTTAAGAAATTTGTTCAGCTGGGATCCAGATGATATTAGAAAATGGAGGGATTTCTCTGATAAATGATTTGATTAAGCGTCTGTTGATTTGGAGTCTGATACTTTATCACTGTTGATGGAATAAATGTCATTTATTAGTTTTAAGATGGACAACTAACTCTTAGCATATTTGAAATAAGATTTTTAGAGTGGAAGAGTTGAAGCTATAGGCTATAAAATTCTTTTTATATTTCCTTGGATAATTAATGCTACCTTCATTTCTAAAACATAACTATTGCTTAATAGATGATCTATTTCTGTACGTAGCATTTATAGATGATCTATATCTTCCACTTCTGAATTTACTTCAATTGTGAGGTTTAGATGGACTAGAAATCATCGCTATGAACATTCCACTTAACAGCATCAGTATAGCATTTAATGTCTTGTTCAATTATACAACTCAAGATTCTTTTTCCCACATGACAATGGCATACTCAGATAATCCCAATTTTTCATTTCAGTATGGTTACTTGTTCTTTTAATTCATTTTCATGGATTTTTGCTTTGTTGGACAATTTTTTCCATCTAGCTTTGCCATTATGGATTTTGTACTGCAAAACCTCATCTAAATCACTATTTATTTTGTATTGATGAAATCATAACTAAGATTTTACATGTAATTCTAAACATATTTTTGAGAGGTCTTATATATTAGATCAACCGAGATTTATGAAGTAATTTGCATGACCTATGTTGGTTAGTGGATCATGGAATATTTAGTGAACTTTTTAAGTTTTTATCTTCCTGTTTTATGTATGTTCAACGATAGGAAGTATTATGTCTTATACCTTTTTCCAAGCCATTTATTTCCCTTGTATATAAAAGTTTTACTCTCTGTATTGATCCTGATTTCTGTCCCTTGGAAATATGTTCACTTTTCACAGAACATTAAAGGTTTTGGGGGTTTCTCTGTCTCTCATTCTTATCAACCTGGCTGCTATAATGGAACGTGCTGATGAAAATCTCCTCCCTTCTGTTTATAAAGAAGTTAGTGAAGCGTTTGATGCTGGGCCATCTGATCTGGGGTATCTCACATTTGTAAGGAACTTTGTGCAGGGAGTGGCATCTCCCTTGGCCGGTGTACTTGTTATTAACTATGACCGGCCTTTGGTCCTAACTATTGGCATTTTCTGCTGGGCCTTATCAACTGCTGCAGTGGGAGCAAGCCAGCATTTCTTACAGGTTGCAATGTGGAGAGCAGTTAATGGCTTCGGATTGGCAATTGTGATACCAGCTCTCCAGTCTTTCATTGCTGATAGTTACAAGGATGGCGTGAGGGGTGCTGGATTTGGGTTACTAAGCCTTGTTGGTACTTTGGGTGGCATAGGAGGTGGCGTTTTAGCAACCATTATGGCTGGTCAGCAGTTCTGGGGCATGCCTGGATGGCGCTGTGCCTTCATTTTGATGGCTACATTGAGTGTGCTGATTGGTTGCCTTGTTTTCTTGTTTGTTGTTGATCCGAGAAAACAAACTAGTGTCACTCATGTATCTGGTGAAAATTTTGATAGGTACAAACCTATTACTTGAGATTATTTAGATTTGTCAAATGTTTTAGTGTCTCACAGCCATCTATATTCGTTGACCATGTGTTTTCAGCTACCCAAATGCCCTGTGTTTGCGAACTTTACAGCGTATTAAGTAGCATTTATAATTTCCATTAATGTTTCGTAACTCAACTTCTTATTGTTGCAGGGATGAGTTGGTAGAAAAGGGTAATGCTACTGTATCATCTGTTTGGCAGGAGTCTTGGACAGCTACAAAAGCTGTTATCAAAGTGCCAACATTTCAGATTATAGTCCTGCAAGGCATTGTTGGTTCATTACCCTGGACTGCCATGGTGTTCTTTACCATGTGGTTTGAATTAATTGGTTAGCACATATGTGAACTTTACTACTTAATTGAGAATATACCATATAATCACATCTTTAGCTGCCACTGGATTGGAGTACTTAATAAGCTCATTCTAGTTATGCAGAAAGCAGCATTATTGTACTGGGTGTCCCTTTTACAATTGTCATTGCATTTTACCTCATTTCTTTTCATGATGTGTGATGACTTTGTGTCCTTTTGTAGGTTTTGATCATAGTAGTACTGCAGCCCTTTTAAGTGTATTTGCTGTTGGATGTGCATTGGGGTCCTTCCTTGGCGGAATAGTAGCAGATCAAATATCACGAATCTACCCGCACTCTGGCCGTATTATGTGTGCTCAATTCAGTGCCTTCATGGGTATTCCATTCTCATTGTTCCTTCTTAAGGTGATCCCACAATCAGTAAGCAGCTATTACACCTTTGCTGTTACCCTTCTTCTAATGGGCTTAACCATTAGCTGGAATGCCACTGCTGCAAATGGCCCTATGTTTGCTGAAGTGGTCCCTGCCAAACACCGGACCATGATTTATGCATTTGATCGTGCTTTCGAAGGATCATTCTCTTCATTTGCTGCTCCTTTGGTTGGAATTCTTTCAGAGAACATGTTTGGCTATGATTCAAAGTCTATTGATCCGGTTAAAGGGTCTGCGCGGGAGGCTTTTGCTTTATCACAGGGGCTTTTGTCAATGATGGCTGTTCCATTTGGTTTGTGTTGCCTGTTTTACACGCCCTTGTATAAGCTTTTTCGGCGAGACCGTGAGAATGCTAGATTGGCCAGTTTAAAAGAGGAAGAGATGTTTTGAAAGGCTCTATTTCAGTTGACTGCACTGTCAATCATAACTTCTCAACTCTAGGACATTTTACTGAGAATTCGATTCAATTTTTCTTCTCAAACTGAAGAGGGACTTCAGCTGACATGTCTGCTGATTGGTGTAGGACAACTGTCGAGAGAATAATCCTTTTTCCTGATTTAATGCAAACAGGTTGGTTGTAATGAACTTGTTTAGATTAATTTTGATTCACACTAATCATCAAGGTAGAACATATGCAAGTCCAACATTATCTGCGTTAAAATTTCTGGGGATAGTCAGGATGATGTAGATAACTAGATGGGCTGCGTTTACAACTAAACAGCTTGACGTGAATTTCTGTAGTTGAATTGCTTTGCATACAGAATGATACCCCTACTATGCAAATTAATGAGACACATCCAAGTTCATGTTAGCTAAGCCCCAAGGTTTCCCGGTTACTATCCTGTAAGATACTTAGCATGGTTGTGCAGCTAATGAGGAACAGCAACCAACTGAGACTGTTTTTATGATCATAAAACCATTTTGGCAAATCGTGAGGAATTTGATCAGATAACTCTGGTTTTGATTTGGCTCTTATTCGTTGGATGGTAGTTTTGGTATAGCAGTGCTGCCTAATAATACTATTCTGTTGATTTATATAGATGGTTCAGGCAAATTCTAGAGCCCTTGGTTTCTTCTTTTTCCTGTTCCATTTGAATCGTCATCACGTGCTTAGCTGTTATTTTCACATGTTTTCAAACAATTTAAATATGAATGGTGTTTTAAATGTCTCGAAAGGACACATGATGAGATTAGGTTTTGTCTGGTCTGGTCTGTATTCAAAGTTGGCCAAACATCATTAATTCAATGGTGTGAATCTGCATATTCATTTTAAGCTAATGGAGTACTGGAGAAGAGATTTTCCATTTTCCTACTACATTGGGAACTCGGGTCCAGGACTCATGCGTGTCTGTAGCGCAGAGACACAGGATAAAATCGAATCTGGGGTTGTTGAAAATGATAATAACATATCACATGCCAACAGACAGAAATGACATCAACATAGTTTAACAGGTAAGCCGTGCTTTTTTTGGGATCATAAGTGGTTGGTCTTTTTTAAGGAATCCAGGTCCTTCCAGGAAAATACAGCAAAAGCATAACTTGAAAATTAGAATTAGCAGATAAATGTTACAACCCACCACCATAGTGGCATTTACATACACGATTCGAAATATTCATCCCCAATATACCCACCTTCCAAAGCCATTCTCACATTTGCCTCGAACACATGTGGATGGTCCCTCAACATATCAGCAGCGTCATGATTGAGGGGATCCTCACAATTTGGTTCCTGCATACATAAATTAATGCAACCAAAAAAGTTAGAACAAATAAAATCTATATGTCATATTAACTTAAGACAAAAGACACACACAGAATGATAGCGTATTACCGTGAAGAGATGATACAATCCGTAAATGATAGTGTTAATATTCAGCACAGGTTTCCAATCTTCTCGCAAGACATTGAGGCAAACGTTTCCTTCCAAGTCAATATTGGGATGGAAGACCTGAAGGTTTGATGCAAATTTGTAAAAAGCCAAAAAACATAGCACCATATGAATGTTAAGTATATGGTGAAAAATTAACAGGATGGAGATGGAATGCTCTACCTTGGTCTTGCACTTAACCCTTGGCGCATCATGTGGATAGATAGGGGGAACTTCGAAAGAGAACAAGAACGTCCCATCTCTGTAGCAACAATTTGGAAAGGATTTAATCAAACAACACTGAATATTGAGACACACAGAACAGAGGAACCTTGCTTTCTTTGAAGTAGGGAAATTGCAGGAATTAAATTTCAGCAAAATGCCAATGCCTTTTGTTTGAGTTGAAACTATGGACAAGGGACATAAAAAAACTCCTTACTTGTAATACCCTCCATCAGGCTTAATTGAGATCTCAAAATTCATCAAGTCGTCCTTGCCATTGGGGAATGTTATGTTGCAAGAATCAGGTAAGTTCAGCTCAGTGATATCTATGACAAGTAAAATGCCAAGATTTATGTTAGGAATACAGGCATTAAGTAAATGATGAAGAACTGAGAAGACAAAGTTAAAAGACTTTCCTTGGGAAAAAAAACAACTCAAATCTCTGTTCGATGAATCTTGTGTACTTTTCCACCTCATCTTACAAAACTTAACCCAGCAAAATTATAATAAAGTAAATAATATTTCTTCATCCTGTCCTTCTTCTTACACTTGAAGTAAGGTGTTTGATAGAAAGTTAAAAACAATGTAGGCAGAAATATGACAGTGTGATACTGGAACAAAAAAAAAAAAAAAAAAAATGTCTTCTTTACTAGTAAAAACCAACATAAATGAAGAGATGAAACCATTCAACACACATAAGAGAAACCTTTTTGAAGACGCAACTCCCCAGCCGACTGCTTTTTAACAGGTACAACNCCGTTGTTTTCCCATGTTTTGCAGGACCTAGGTGAGGACACTGTCGGATGGATGTCGGCGTGCGAGGAGGAGTGGCTACACTGTCCCTGATGTTTTGATGACTTTTTGTATACGTTATATATATTTTGTGTAAAAATGCATATGTTTGTAAAGAGTATGTATATATGTTTAATAAAAGAAAAACTTGGGCCCAATTTCTTTATCTTATTTTATATGTATTTCCTTATAATCTTTTGAGTAGTAGTGGCTATTACATAGAATTTCCAGATCGCAGGGGTGAAATTGTCAATTTTTAAACATGTATGGGGTAAAAGTAATTTTATAAATATTGGGGGTGTTTTAATTTATTACATTAGGGGTAGCCAACCGATTGGGTCAAACAGGGTTGGGTCGGTCATACAGGGTCAACCTGACCCAAAAAGTCAAAGTGGGTCATGCGACTCGAGTAGGTCAACTCGGGTCAACTCAACCTAGGCAAACAGAGTCACTTGACCCGATGAACATGGTTTAGCCCGACCCGCTTACTGACACAGTCAACTCACCCCAGTCAACACTGACCATTGACAATGCGTGTAGAGGCGCGTGATAGTGTTTCTTGGTGCATGGAAGTGATATTCCTGCACATGATAGTGCGTGAGAGCACGTATAGGTGCGTGAAAGCGCGGGAGTGGTGTTTATGGCGCTTGAATGCGAGTGAGACTATTTTTTGGCGTGTGATCGTGTTTTCCAACGTGTGAAGGTGATCTTCCAGCACGTGGCAGCATGTGCGAGCATGTATGGGGGCATGTCAAAGCATGATGTGATGTTTTCGGCGCGCGAGAGTGGTGTGACTTTTTTTTGGAGCATGTGGTTGCGCGTAAGGCTATTCTGGTATTGTTGAAGATGAAATTACCTTTAAATCACATTTCCCTCTATTATTGTTAAAGTTATACTCTATCCATGTGCAACAATTATATAGAGTATAATTTATAAGGAGTGATTGTTTTTTTGGTTGGAACAATTATCAAATTAAGATTGTCAGAGATAATAAGATTTTATATATAATGAAATCTTAATTATGACTTTTATGTGGCTAGCTATGTATATGAAATATGAAGCTGAAATTAACTAGCTATGTATATAACTTATTAATTTTCTTCTGAGATAGCGGGTACAGCTGCCAACCAAATTGCTTTATATGTATATTTTATGCACCGAATCAATCCATTTTCTCAACCGTTGTTCTGAATGCAGAAACATGATCTATGACATAATTAAATGAAATTAAGATAATATTAAGAGTCAGATATTTGATAGGATCAAAAATTCAATAATTTAGGTTGTGATGCCCACAAATTTATTATTGTTATGTCTCAAAAGTCACGCTTATGTCAACTTAATAAATGTGTTGCCAAGCCCATATCTCCTCAAAGATATTCACACCAACTCTATCTCATTTCAAGAAATGAATGGACGAGAGCCTTCCATGTGTCAAGGCAACTTGCAAAACACTCATTACATTGAGTGTTTAGGTGTATAAATGGGCACTCCTCTTCCCGAAGAAGGAGGCTGGGCTGAGATTTGAGCTTCATTTCATTCTCTCTCTGTAAACACTGTATTTCTTCATCTTTGTATGCCTTACGGGCAAAATTATAGAAATAGTCAGAGATCAATAAAATAACAGTGGATGTAGGAGTCGTTTGTTGCATCAGAACCACTATAAAAAACCCCTCTTGCCAATCTTTTATTTATGTTTTCTGCAACATATATAATCTCAGCTCCATATTTAAATCTCATAGATCCATCACGTGTGATTCCTAAGTCCGCTTAGCGTTTCTCACGTGCGAGTAGTTGGCGTCCAAAATCAAGCGTCAACAGTTTGGTGGCCCATGCAGGTTCGGTTCTCAAACCTACATCCAAGTTCCTTGATGGCATGCTCAGATCTCAAACCTGTATCAAAATTCTCCAATCGCATTGCCAGATCGTAGATCGCACGCATTAGAGTTCTCCGATCGCGTGGCCAGATCGCAGATCGCACGCCCATGCCGTCCTGATCCTCGGCTTCAGATCGTTGATCTTTAGCTTCAAATCGTGTGTTCAGATCGCTGATCACACGCTGAGATCGCTGATCTCTTGTGCTCTTAGGTAGAGCTCGTTATGATCTCTCAGGTCGAGCTCGTCATGACCTTTTCAGGTCGAGGTCGTTTTGACCTCTCAGGTCGAGGTCGTTTTGACCTTTTTAGGTCGAGCTCGTTTTGACCTGTCAGGTTGAGGTCATTTTGACCTCTCAGGTCGAGGTCGTTTTGATCTCTCAGGTCGAGGTCGTTTTGACCTTTCAGGTCGAGGTCGTTATGACCTCTTAGGTCGAGGTCGTTTTGGTCTCTCAGGTTGAGCGCGTTTTGACCTCTCAGGTCGAGGTCGTTTTGACCTCTCAAATTGAGCTCGTTTGGTTCATTCAGGTTGTTTTGACCTGTCAAGTTGAGGTTGTTTTGACCTGTCAAGTTGAGGTCGTTTTGACCTCTCAGATTGAGGTCGTTTTTCTCATTGTGCTCGTTTTGACCTCTCAGGTCGAGGTCATTTTGCTCTCAAGTTGAGCTCGTTATGACCTTTTAGGTCGTGCTCCTAACAGATTTCAGGTCATGCTCCTAACAGATTTCAGTTCGAGACTATAGCCATTCAAATCAAAGACTTGAGTTTCTGAAGCGCGATTACGCACTTCAAAAACTGGGGGGCTTTTGTTATGCCTCAAAAGTCACGCTTACGTCAGCCTAATAAATTATATTTATCAATCAAATATTCTATTATATGATCCGGAAGTCTGAAAGTAGCACTCATATATAGTCATTGGTAGTTTGACCCTTACCATTTTCCCGTTCCACCAACTCATTCACTGAACCAGTTGAAATTAAGTAATATATTGTGTCGATTATATTTATATTTATTTCAATAATCTGTCTCCTAAATCAATGTTACATGTTTCAGCGAGTGAAAGGAAGTCATCTTTGAAAGTAGTCCACAGGCATGGTCCATGTTTTAAACAAAATGGAGATGAAGCGAACTCTCCATCTCACGCAGAGATCCTCCTGCAAGACCAAGCCCGAGTTAACTCAATTCATTCTAAACTCTCCAAGAAGTCTCGCCAAGTTGACAGAAAGGACGCAGGCGGCTCCACACTCCCGGCCAAGGACGGTTCCTCGATGGGATCAGGCAATTACATTATTACCGTGGGCCTCGGCACTCCAAAGAAATCTCTGTCACTGATATTTGACACAGGTAGCGACGTCACTTGGACACAATGCAAGCCTTGCGTCAGATATTGCTATCCACAGAATGACCCAATATATGACCCCTCTGCCTCCAAAACATATACCAATGTTTCTTGCAAATCAGATATGTGCGATGAGCTCGAGTCAGCCACAGGTCAATATTTACATCTTAAAAGTTCAATTATATATTCACACTAAGTTATACACAAATTTTAATTCTGTTGCTGTATGCAGGTAATTCTCTGGGATGTGCATCTTCAACATGTCTTTATGGAATAAGATACGGAGACAATTCATTCTCCATTGGATTTTTTGGCACGGACACGCTTACTATAACCTCTGCAGACGTTTTCAAAAACTTCTACTTTGGGTGCGGCCAAAATAACCGTGGACTATTTGGTAAAACAGCTGGTTTGCTTGGTCTTGGCCGAAACGCAGTCTCTGTGGTGTCTCAAACTGCCACAAAATACAAACAATTCTTCTCCTACTGCTTGCCTTCGTCATCCAGCTCAACAGGCCACCTCACTTTTGGCAATTCTGGTGGCCCCTCGAAATCAGTAAAATTTACTCCACTCTCCGCTGTCACTAAGGACACATCCTTTTACGGCCTTGACATTGTTGGACTCAGCGTCGGTGGTCAAAAACTATCCATTTCCAAGTCAGTTTTTTCAAATGGTGCTATTATTGACTCAGGCACCGTCATAACTCGCCTTCCACCAGCCGCCTACTCCCCCTTGAGCACAGCATTCCGTAAATTGATGGCCGCATATCCAACAGCTCCTGCTCTGTCGATCCTCGACACGTGCTACGATTTTAGTAATTATACTTCCATCAAAGTGCCAAAGATTAGCTTCTTTTTCAATGGTGGGGTTGAGGTTAGCATTGACGTTACAGGAATTCTATACGCGAATAGTGTGTCGCAAGTGTGTCTGGCAATAGCAGCCAATAGTGATGCAAGCGACGTAGCAATCTTTGGAAACACCCAGCAGAAGACAATGGAGGTGGTGTATGACGGCGCTAGAGGAAGGGTTGGGTTTGCTCCAAAGGGTTGCAGCTAGTAATTCAGAGTTATTGATCAAAAAGAGAATGTTCTTCAAGTTCGCAGAGGTGTGTTGTTAAATGGTTTTATCAGTGAAATAAAGAAAAATTAGTGCTCCCATAACAAAAGATTATGTGTTATAGCTTCATAAATAATGAACTTCAAAGTCATGTAAATTTTGGTCAGAGTTCTGCGTGCCCTGCAATGAAACTAAATTCTCTTCTTTGAGTTTTTTAAGCATTTGATTGTTTTATTATTTCTTCTTTGACCTTCCTAAACAATTAGTGTGATCAAGTAAAAATAATCAAACTTCAACCAACAATTGTTTTACGAAACAGAAAGAACCAGCAATGATTTAAGAAAAAGATGCTACAAAACCATGACAAATATGAAAAATAAAAATAAAACTAAAAAAAAAGGAATGAAAGAAAGAAACATTAGTCTTGGGTACAACGTCTGTACAATATCACCAATCAGTGACAATTTTTATATTTAATTGGTTAATATATTCACATTATGTAATGTATGTTGTTGTCTTTTTTACTTATTTTAATCCTTAATATAATTACTTATATGTAATTCTATATATACATATGTAATTGACATAATGACATAGAAAAGAAAAAGTTTTTGAAGATACTACTCACAAAGACTCTTAGATAGTCGAATGATTCAATAAAGACTTTTAAACGTACTATTCAAAAAATTTGAAGTTCAAGTCTATTTTCAGTTTTTAATAATGATGTTATTGAAATTTGTATCCAAATGATATTTTTATAAATTGACTCGACCGAAACATCCCTTATCATTTAAAAAAAAAAAAAAAAGGGTTCTTGAAGATTGTAGCATTAATTCACGACTAATAAAAAGGAAAAATGCTGTCGTCCACTTAAAATTTTGGATAAGTCCATAAGTCGTCCACTCATAGCTCTACAGTTGACTTGCCTCCTAGTGGACGACGACTTTGCAATCCACTATTGGAACTTGTGAAGCTTTTCGTTTTCGTTTGAGTTATACGGACCAATTAATTATTACTTAAATCCTTTCACATTACAGAAATAAGTAAAGTGGCATTTGCATTGTAGTGGCGGCCAATATTTCCACGAAGTTTCAACTGGGTTGTTGTTTACTTTTAGGCCGAACGACTTTCACCCAGCCAAATTTTGTCATAAACATAGATCGGCTATTGTTTTAAATACAAGGATATTATTGTCTAAAATTTTAGTTAAATAAGGGTAAAATTGAAATAGAATATTAATATAAATTTATTTTAAAATGAGGGTATTATTGTCTAAAATTTTTATTAATAAAGGATAAAATTATAACAAAAAAAGATAACCTTAGTAATCTCAGAATACCTAAGAAAATGAAAGTAATCAGATTACCTCCAATATTATCAATAGTGACTACTATTGATATTTGAAGATTACCGGAATCTTATATTACTTGATAACCAAATGTGGTAATTAAATAATATAAGATGATATTATCACAATAATCTGATATTACCGTCAACCAAACGCCCCTAAATGTTATGGGTTGTGCGGTGAATCTCTTAGCCCTTGGGATGCGTCATGCGTGCCAGCTCTCCACCAATTACTCTCAAATCAGACGGCAGGATCCTTCCATGTGGCATCACCCTAACCAGAAATTTCTCCATCAAGATCGGCTACTCCAAGTACAGTGGTTGAGTACTGTCTTAGGTATGGCACACCTGATGCAAATCCACTGTGGAAGTATAAAAAGGGGAAGCCATTTCCATTTCAAGGGGAATCCTTCCGCCAAACACACTCACACAAGAAAAAGTCAACTTAGAGAGGGAAAAAAGAGCGGAACTCCCACGCGTTAGATTTTCAATATACAATACGACAAACCAGTTGACAACCATGGTGTGAAAAGTCTTCTCATTCATCAAAGGAAATTTTTTAGTAAACCCCCACGCGTTTTAGTAATTATGAAAGCATTTTTGGTTATAAAAACAAGACCCTAGCCCGCATTCCGTCCACTTTTGTTAACGAAAATCCGTTGAGAATGGAAAGGAGGATTTTATTCTAAACAAAATTACATAAAAGCCCTCATCTCATTTTCACCCACCCCGGCAACCCCCACTACTTAGAGAACTGACACTTTGGCCTTTATTCAACCAAAACACCGAACAGCCACCACTATTGTGTAGTTTTATAATCTTTGTGCAATTTGGAGCACACATATATATAAAGATGGATCCGACTACAATATGCGTCACGCAAATATATGTGTAGCCGGTGCTGCGTGTATATATGCGCGCAACATGAGAGACCTACCATTGTTAAATATTACTTTCATGGCTTATACAGCGTCCAATTCTTGAAAGGGTTTGGCTGTTTGGAACTTCTCGAGTTGATCGTTACTTGATGAACATGAATCAAGTTTCTTTCCTATCTACATGCACCTGATGATTTTTAATATTATTGGCCATGATCAGATGCATCTAAGCAATTTTTGGGCAATTGACACTCGATGAAAATCAAGTAAATCGTTTGTATTTTTGTTTAATAAAGTCACATAATTTGATAGCTATTTTGGCACTATTTCATAACAAGCACAAAAGTGTATATATATATATATACACACACATTAGAAAAGGCCACATAATTAATATAAGTCCTTCTCTTGCCTTTTATAGTTTCCTGTTGTATATCAAATTGTTACTTTTGGTTCCTATGAAGAAAAAAGAAAAATACCCTTTATAATTCAAAGGGAGAAAAGAGCACCAAAAAGTATAAGGAGTAATGGAATTATATATTAGTCAAAAGTTGGGCGATATTATTAAATGGAGAGTTAAAATAAGAAATGAAAGGAAGCATTCAAGCACTAAAGAAATATTAGGTCCAAGGCCATAGAGAAACTAGTGGTGGAATTTATAATTTATATAATTTTCCAGCGCCAAAAGCTTATAAAGCTAGCTGTCTAACCAGCATTAGAGTGTGCCTTTTGTAGGTTGTGAAAGATTAGTGTACTGAGGTTCATGGCTACTACCGTTTCCTTTGTTTTTCTTAGGCTTCTTCTCTGTGCTTATCTTCTTTCATTATGCCTTCTTTGCTCCTTGAAGAATGGCTATGCTTTTGGAGAGAGAGAATATATAGAGACGCAAGAAGTCAAGAACGATGAAAATCATTATTATCATCATAATTCACATACTATTCAACTCAACTCTCTTTTACAGTCACCTGTTTGCGATCCTTCCACCAAAGGTTAGCTTTCACTTTGAATTCTCTTTGTCTGCAGTCTGCTGAATTAAGTTATCTTCATATATAAATGTTGTATTACATTTTTAAGTTCGTCAATCGTCATCAAAACTTAAAAAGTATATATTTATCAATCAAATATTCTATTATATGATCCGGAAGTCTGAAAGTAGCACTCATATATAGTCATTGGTAGTTTGACCCTTACCATTTTCCCGTTCCACCAACTCATTCACTGAACCAGTTGAAATTAAGTAATATATTGTGTCGATTATATTTATATTTATTTCAATAATCTGTCTCCTAAATCAATGTTACATGTTTCAGCGAGTGAAAGGAAGTCATCTTTGAAAGTAGTCCACAGGCATGGTCCATGTTTTAAACAAAATGGAGATGAAGCGAACTCTCCATCTCACGCAGAGATCCTCCTGCAAGACCAAGCCCGAGTTAACTCAATTCATTCTAAACTCTCCAAGAAGTCTCGCCAAGTTGACAGAAAGGACGCAGGCGGCTCCACACTCCCGGCCAAGGACGGTTCCTCGATGGGATCAGGCAATTACATTATTACCGTGGGCCTCGGCACTCCAAAGAAATCTCTGTCACTGATATTTGACACAGGTAGCGACGTCACTTGGACACAATGCAAGCCTTGCGTCAGATATTGCTATCCACAGAATGACCCAATATATGACGCCTCTGCCTCCAAAACATATACCAATGTTTCTTGCAAATCAGATATGTGCGATGAGCTCGAGTCAGCCACAGGTCAATATTTACATCTTAAAAGTTCAATTATATATTCACACTAAGTTATACACAAATTTTAATTCTGTTGCTGTATGCAGGTAATTCTCTGGGATGTGCATCTTCAACATGTCTTTATGGAATAAGATACGGAGACAATTCATTCTCCATTGGATTTTTTGGCACGGACACGCTTACTATAACCTCTGCAGACGTTTTCAAAAACTTCTACTTTGGGTGCGGCCAAAATAACCGTGGACTATTTGGTAAAACAGCTGGTTTGCTTGGTCTTGGCCGAAACGCAGTCTCTGTGGTGTCTCAAACTGCCACAAAATACAAACAATTCTTCTCCTACTGCTTGCCTTCGTCATCCAGCTCAACAGGCCACCTCACTTTTGGCAATTCTGGTGGCCCCTCGAAATCAGTAAAATTTACTCCACTCTCCGCTGTCACTAAGGACACATCCTTTTACGGCCTTGACATTGTTGGACTCAGCGTCGGTGGTCAAAAACTATCCATTTCCAAGTCAGTTTTTTCAAATGGTACTATTATTGACTCAGGCACCGTCATAACTCGCCTTCCACCAGCCGCCTACTCCCCCTTGAGCACAGCATTCCGTAAATTGATGGCCGCATATCCAACAGCTCCTGCTCTGTCGATCCTCGACACGTGCTACGATTTTAGTAATTATACTTCCATCAAAGTGCCAAAGATTAGCTTCTTTTTCAATGGTGGGGTTGAGGTTAGCATTGACGTTACAGGAATTCTATACGCGAATAGTGTGTCGCAAGTGTGTCTGGCAATAGCAGCCAATAGTGATGCAAGCGACGTAGCAATCTTTGGAAACACCCAGCAGAAGACAATGGAGGTGGTGTATGACGGCGCTAGAGGAAGGGTTGGGTTTGCTCCAAAGGGTTGCAGCTAGTAATTCAGAGTTATTGATCAAAAAGAGAATGTTCTTCAAGTTCGCAGAGGTGTGTTGTTAAATGGTTTTATCAGTGAAATAAAGAAAAATTAGTGCTCCCATAACAAAAGATTATGTGTTATAGCTTCATAAATAATGAACTTCAAAGTCATGTAAATTTTGGTCAGAGTTCTGCGTGCCCTGCAATGAAACTAAATTCTCTTCTTTGAGTTTTTTAAGCATTTGATTGTTTTATTATTTCTTCTTTGACCTTCCTAAACAATTAGTGTGATCAAGTAAAAATAATCAAACTTCAACCAACAATTGTTTTACGAAACAGAAAGAACCAGCAATGATTTAAGAAAAAGATGCTACAAAACCATGACAAATATGAAAAATAAAAATAAAACTAAAAAAAAAGGAATGAAAGAAAGAAACATTAGTCTTGGGTACAACGTCTGTACAATATCACCAATCAGTGACAATTTTTATATTTAATTGGTTAATATATTCACATTATGTAATGTATGTTGTTGTCTTTTTTACTTATTTTAATCCTTAATATAATTACTTATATGTAATTCTATATATACATATGTAATTGACATAATGACATAGAAAAGAAAAAGTTTTTGAAGATACTACTCACAAAGACTCTTAGATAGTCGAATGATTCAATAAAGACTTTTAAACGTACTATTCAAAAAATTTGAAGTTCAAGTCTATTTTCAGTTTTTAATAATGATGTTATTGAAATTTGTATCCAAATGATATTTTTATAAATTGACTCGACCGAAACATCCCTTATCATTTAAAAAAAAAAAAAAAAAAAGGGTTCTTGAAGATTGTAGCATTAATTCACGACTAATAAAAAGGAAAAATGCTGTCGTCCACTTAAAATTTTGGATAAGTCCATAAGTCGTCCACTCATAGCTCTACAGTTGACTTGCCTCCTAGTGGACGACGACTTTGCAATCCACTATTGGAACTTGTGAAGCTTTTCGTTTTCGTTTGAGTTATACGGACCAATTAATTATTACTTAAATCCTTTCACATTACAGAAATAAGTAAAGTGGCATTTGCATTGTAGTGGCGGCCAATATTTCCACGAAGTTTCAACTGGGTTGTTGTTTNGAGTAACAACACACACACACACACACAAAAAAAAAAAAAAAAAAATTCGAAGCCAATTGACCCTAACGCCTTTGATCCTTGAACTAAGAAGTTTCTCTAACCATGAGGCATGTGTTCCACAAGCCCATTAAGGCTTCAAGGGCTGGCCTCGCTGAAGCAGAAGGACCGTGTTCTACAATTAATTTACAACATGCATTCTACTTGAGCAAATATTAAATCCACAAATGATCCTCGGCGCTTGTGCTTATGGAGTTTCTCTTAGCATGTGTTGCTCATTTTCATGTCTCTTTGGGTCTAAACTCAAAGAAGTAGTGGAAAGGGAGAACGGTATTTTCCCACACAAGGTTTGACGAAATGATACTTTCTCACCCTTCGTTAGATTTTGTTGTTAATATTTAACTAAAAAGACGAAAATATTCTTAAATATTTTACTTTATAAATTTTTTATTATTTTTTAATTAGCCAAAAAATCAAATATTAAAAAATCAAAAAAGAAAAAATAGTTAACCGCAACTAAAAAGTTAGAGGTAATGTTATGGAATTGTTTAAAGTTAAATAACCTTAATGTTTATTTATTGGTTATTTATAATGTCATCAATATCTCATCACTATTATTTAATCATCTATTAAATTTATATATATTTTTACTATCGAGTAAAGACTTTGACTTAACTAAATTTTAATTTATAATAAACTAATTAAGAAATAAACTATTTAGGTATTTTCATCTTTTTAGTTAAATATTAACCGAAAACACTAACAAAACCTAATAAGGATGGGAAAGTGTTATTTTGAAATTTGACGGGTGAGAAAGTGTTGTTTCACCAAACCTTTGGTGGAGAAATATTGTTCTCCCTAGTGAAAAGGCCACATGCCCACATTCGTCCTTGTATGGTCATAAATCATAATCTAAGGTTTCCCTAGGGGAAATGTTTGTTAGGATTATTAACAACGTTTCTCTCCATTAAACTTGCCATAGAGAAGTACCTTTCGTCTTTCATTAATTACTTATTTCTTCAAGCTAACAATAGACCATCAAACAGAGAATCGTTGTGCGCCAATTCAAGCAGTAATCAGGAGGAGGAAGAACAGTACTTGAGAGATTTTTAATATAGTGTGGTGGCCCAAGGCACTTCAATCAAAAGTCCTAAGAAGAAAATAAAGCTAAAATAAAATCGTTATTTTTCAATGCCTTTGCGGTCAGCAATAGAGGTAAGGGAGGATAAAAGTTATTTGCACATTCGGATCTCAAATAAGGGGAGACAAAATTGCATCTAAATTTTACATCTCCTGGTGCCTATAACAAGGCAGAGATGATTAAGCTTACAAAACACTGTCCCGACAAGCATATAATTGGCCATTGTGATTTCCACCATGTACCTCAGGTTTCATCTCCAAGCTTCCTTTATTTTTTTATGGCTTCTCTGTTCTTTAAACAACAATTATGCCCAGAAACTTGAACAACGTCAATACCCTCGTAGTCACTTTGTTAAAGTCAGTTCTCTATTACCATCAACTGTTTGCAACCACAATTCCACTAAGGGAGCATTTAGTTAGGGGTATTTGAGATTACTAGGGTAAAATCATCTTATATTACTTGATTATCATGTTTGGTTGTCGAGTAATATAAGATACCGGTAATGTTCAAATACCAATAGTAGTTACTATTGGTAATATTTGAAGTAATATGAATACCTCAATTTTCTTAGGTATTCTAAGATTACTAGAGTTATCATTTTAGTTACAATTATATCCCTTAGTAATAAAATTTTAGGATAATAATGCCCTTATTTTTAAATTTATTTACATGAATATGGCTTTTACTTTTCACCCCCAATTAATTAATTTTTTAGACAAAATTACCTTTGAATTCAAAACAAATTATAGCCCACCCAAGCCACCACCCCAGCCACTTGCTGTCGGTAACCACCGCCGCGGCCAGTCGTCACCGGAAAGGTGTACGGAAGGCTAAAAATGGGCACTATGTGTCGATATGGCCATTTTTGGCTAGATATCTAACCGAAAATGGCTAGATTTGACCATTGACGACCAGATCGATGGCTGTTAACGGCCACGTCTATGGTTGTCAACGGCCATCAATCTGGCCATTGACTGCCAGATCGACGGATTTGGCTGTTGACGGCCAAATCTGGTCATATTGACACACGACAGCCATTTTTGGCCTTCCGTGCGCCGTTAGGTTGCCGGCAGCCAGCGATGGTTGCTGACGGCAAGTAATGGCTAGGTTGGTAGGGGGTGTTTTGTTGATTTTCTAAACTTTTGTTATGGGGTTGTTTTGTTAAATTTTTAAATGTGAGGGGTTATAGTAATCCAAATAATAATAATATTAAAAAATAATATAATAATAATATTTAATTAGGGGACAATTTAGTAATTTAAATAATATACTTACCAATTTATTCCTCCAAACTAAATATATTAATATAACATACCCACCAATTAACTAAACTCATTTTTTTAAAGATTTCTAGTAATCTTTAAGGTAATCTGTCTTTCTAGTAATCCAATATTCTCTGAATCAAATGTCCCCTAAAGATAATGGATGATTATAAACTATTGTTTATCACTAAGCGCCTTGCTAAATATTATGAATTACTCTTGTCCATAAATCAAATATGGTTATTAATTATTGTTGTTTTTTATGATCACGAAGCGCCTGACTAAATATTATGGTATTTTTTTATTTTTTGTTTCAGTACCAAACAAAGTGCCTATAGAAGTATGGCCCATGCACGACGCTGAATCAAGGCACGGCAAAAACTCCCAATTACTCAGAAATTCTGCGCAAAGACTGATCCCAAATAAATTTCATTCAGTCCATAATCTCCAAGTCCAAGAATTTAAAGCAAACGCTGGGAATTTCAGTTCCTGCCACGTCTGAAGCAGACGGGACGTCGTACGAGTTCTATGCGATCGGCCCAGGCCCAAGATGTTTCTCTCCTTTTGGACACTGGAAGTGGCCTCGCTTGGACTCACTGCAAGCCTTGCACAAAACACTGCTTTAAACAAAGGGGTCAGTTTTACGATCCATCCAAGTCCAAAACCTATTCAAACGTTCCATGCCACTCTTCAATCTGCCTCGCCCACAATGGTAATTAATTATAGAGCAATACTAACTTTACAAAGAGTTATACAAGGAGTCATATAAAAAGACAATTTCTATCCTTAAAATTTATAATTACCTCTCTCTCTATCTTTTTCGCTTCTTTTAAGGGTAAGAATTATCTCTTTGTATGACTCTTTTTATGCCTCTTTGTAAGGCTAGTGTTACTCTTAATTATAATGCAAGTTCAGGATTTCATCATTTCTGCGAGTAAAGTAGCTCCACATTTTGAATCTAAAGTAATTAATTAAAATAAAACTATCAATAAATAATAACAAAAGCACTGATTTTCACGAGCCAAAGCATACCTTTGATAATATTAATCTAAAAACATTTAAATAATTCTTTTAGTAGCAATAAAGCTAATGTTAACCACCACTGAGTGGTCCAACAGTGAATTAGGACTTTTGATTGTATTACTCAAAAAGTTGTAAGTTTGATTTACCTGGGTTACTAATAAGAGTAGTTACTGAGACGATTTATCTGACTGTCAACGTTAGAATTCTGAGAGATTAGTTGAGGTGCGTATAAGCTAACATGAACATGATTACCAAAAAAATAAAAAAAGAAGCTAATGTTCTGAATTTTGCCTACAGCAGTGGTTATTGAAAATAAATATATCTGAATGAGTTGGATTCTATCTGAATGAGTTGGATTCTATCCTATGCATCGATAATTAACAAGAAATTGATCACTATAAATGCAGGCGACGATGCAGGTTGCATTTCCAGTAAATGCGGTTACTATATTGATTACGTGGATAGTGCTTATACCAATGGGCTTTGGTCGACAGAAAAGTTGACCTTAACCAATGGGGCCAATACATTAGTCATCGACGGTTATAATTTAGGATGTGGATTTAACAATTCTGCAGCCGCAGGTGACGATCAAGGACTTGAAGGAGCCTCCGGGATATTGGGACTTGACCGAAGTACACTCTCCTTTATATCACAAATGCCAGCTTCATTCACAAGCACTTCTCCT